AGTTCAGTGATCATTTTGAAATATTTAAAAGTCAGTACACGTTCAGTGACTAATGAAACATTTAACTTGTTCTCCAAAAAACTCATCCCAAACATTCAATCAACGACACTCAATTTACATGTTACTCATTAATTTCATAACTCGACTTATATTTCTATTTCAAGTTGATTATTTTATTTATAATTATTATCAAGATTGACAGAATTCACGGCTAACGAGTGAAATTGTAACAAAAATTGTTCAATATTTAAATACACGTCATTTGTGGTAGAGCTAGATCTTCACGTAGGGGGTGATAAAATTTTGAGGAGGTTGAATGCAAACTGATGCAGGGTGAATAATTCAATAATAAGGATAACAAAAAGAGATGAGGGAGGGGGGGAATAAAGAATCACAGAGACAGAGGGAAGAAGAAGAGAGGAAAACAGGGCTACAGCCAACTTTTTATTCAATCAATTCATCGTCCCAATTACAATGTAAAATAAGTTTAAATACTACAAACCTAAAAGATAGGGCCAAGCCCAATACACAAGTCCATAAAAATAAAATAACCAAAATCCAACTAAGAAATAAAAGTCCAACTAAAATAATTAAAATTGGGATGTCCTCATCAATTCTGCCGGGGTGGGAGAGAAAACTCGACCCTGTCGAGTGGCTATATCACCATAGGCTTCCGTGAATCTCCCAACCATAAGCTGAGTGGTTGGGCAAGTTTCTTTCGATGTCTGTAGAAATGTGTCAGTGGCGGTCTGAACCTGGTGTCCTCACCAACTCCCCTCGGGTGGACGGGAGGCGATCTGAGCCAATGAAGATCCTGCTGACTCCAATAAAACTCTAATAAATCTGGATCCAATTGCTGTAGTGTCTCCCTGGAGATCCATGCACAGTCACAATCTGGTCGACCAACCCAACGAACAAGGAAGCGTTGAACCTCTCCATCAGTAGTGAACACATTTTCTTCTCTAAAATAGCATCAATTTTTTTTTGTGTACTGTGAGAGGTGGTAGTGGGTTAGAAGGGGCCAAAGAATCAGAATCAAGGTCCACAAAAGGAGATGATAGAGGATCATAGGGAATGAAATGGCCTTTATAAACTACAAGGTCCTCAACATTGAAAGTAGAGTGGTAACCCAGGTGTGGTGGAATGTCAACAATATATGCATTTGGACCAACCTGTTTTAAAATTTTAAAAGGACCAGCACTACGAGCTTGCAATTTGGAGACGGGTCTATGTAGACGCCGCTCTGGCCTAATGCGAACCATAATGTAATCCCCAATGTTAAACTCAATATGTCGTTTGTGTAAATCAACTTGGAGTTTATATTTTGCATTACTAGCTTCAAATTGTTTATTGATCTCAATATGCAAGTCATGAAGATGTTGTGCAAATGCTTCGGCTGATACTGACACTCTAGCCTGTGGGGACATAGGAATGAGATCTAACGGTTTCCTAGGCTTGTACCCATGAGCGGCTTCAAATGGACTCATACCTAATGAACGATTTATGGAGCTATTATACGCAATTTGAGCTATAGTAAGGATCAAATCCCAATTTCGAAGGTTTTCCCGGACCAGGCAACGTAATAGGTTACCAAGACTTTGATTAACTACTTCAGTTTAACCATCAGTCTGAGAGTGGTAGGCCGTAGAAATTTTCAATTTGGTACCCATCTAATGCCACAAAGTTCTCCAAAAATGGCTAGTGAAACGAACGTCCCTATCAGACACGGTGGTCTTGGGAAGTCCATACAATTTGACAATTTCATTAAAGAATAACATGGCAACCTTGGACGCATCCGACGTCTTGCTACAGGGGATAAAATGAGCCATCTTTGAGAAGCGATCGACAACCACAAAAATAGAATCATGCTTCTTTGAGGTGCGTGGAAGTCCTAACACAAAATCCATACTAACATCTTGCCAAGGACAATTAGGGACAGGGAGAGGGGTGTATAGACCTGTGTTCTGCTTCTTCTGCTTACTCAATTGACAAGTGTTATAAGTACTAACAATCTTAGCCACATCTTTCTTCAAGCCGGGCTAATAGAATTGACGTTCAACTTCCTCTATGGTCTTATCACGGCCAAAATGACTGGCTAATCCTCCCGCATGAATTTCCCACACGATGAAATCTCGCACTAAAGTTCGAGGGATGCACAATTTATTGGCTCTAAAGAGATAACCCCCCTCAAGTTGGAAGCCATCTGTGGCGCCTGATTGTCTCATTTGTAAATTAAGAAAGATATCTTTAAAATTGGGACATGCCTCGTAATCCTCCTTAAGTCTTTCAAACCGATGATCTTGACACTCATGATCGACAAAAGGGAGACACAATAACTTAATGCGTCAGTTGCTTGGTTTTCCACGCCCTTCTTATGTTTTAAAACAAAGGAATAAGCCTGCAAATATTCGACCCAACGATCGTGCCTAGAACTTAATCTTTTCTAGGAGTTGAGGTAACGGAGGGCCTCATGATCCGAATAAAGGACAAATTCCTGGGGCAACAAATAGTGGCGCCAATAGCGCAAAGCCTGGACCACCGCATACAGTTCTTTATCATAAGTTGAGTACCGCTGTTTGGCTTCATTTAACTTGTCACTGAAGTAGGCAACCGGTTGACGATCCTGACTCAAGACTCCACCTATACCTACCCGAAGACATCACATTCAACTTCAAAGACTTTGGAAAAGTCGGGAAGGCGCATAACAGGAGCCTCCGTCATTCGTTTCTCGACTAACTTAAAGGCCTTAGCCGCTTCTTGTGTCCAACGAAACTCTCCTTTCTTCATGCATTCTGTGATAGGCGCCATAATAGTGCTAAACCCCTTAATAAATCGACGGTAAAATGTAGCTAAGCCGTGAAAGTTTCTGACGTCATGAATGGCATTAGGCTCAAGCCAGTCAATAATCGCCTGAACCTTAGCAGGATCAGCAGATACTCTCGTCAAAGAGACAATGAAGCCCAAAAAAATGACTGTATTGGTGAAGAAAGAGCACTTCTTGACGTTAGCATATAGATTAGTTTGCACGAAGGGTAAAGCAGACTTGTGTGAGGTGGTCAAGGTGTTGCTCCTTAGACTTACTATAGATGAGGATATCATCAAAGTAGACAACAAGAAACTTTCCCATGAAAGGTCAGAGAGTTTGTGTCATTACCCGCATAAAGGTACTTGGTGCATTACTTAGCCCAAAAGGCATGACCAGCCATTCATAAAGACTATCTTTCGTTTTAAACGTGATCTTCCACTCATCACTTGGGCGAATTCAAATATGATGGTATCCACTCTTCAGATCAATCTTCGAAAAGATTGTGGCACCAACTATCATATCTAACATATTGTCAAGTCTAGGAATGGGAAAACGATACTTCACCGTAATCCTATTGATCACGCGACTATCCACACACATCCTCCAAGAACCATCCTTTTTGGGCGTCAATAGGGCGGGGACAGCACACGGGCTTAAACTCTCACGAATGAATCCTTTGTGAAGGAGGTCATCGACTTGCCTTTGAAGTTCAGCGTGCTCGGTAGGATTCATCCTATAATGAGGCAAATTCGGGAGGGATGCGCCTGGGATGAAATCTATGACATGTTGAATATTCCTTAGTGGGGGTAGATGATCAGGTAGGTCCTCCGAAACGACGTCTCGAAACTCTTGGAGGACCAACAGGACTTCAACAGGGCTCTCTATTGTAGAGTGGGATGGAACCTCCATGACCACCAAAGCGAACACAACTGAGTCACCAACAAGTGTACGCTCAAACTCCGTAGGACTAATGATGTGCAATCCCTTTCGTTCCACACTTTTCTTCGTTTCTAGTGGGCCAACAGGTTTCGGAGGCAGTGGGTTAAGGTGAATCTTCTTTCCATTAAACACGAAGGAATGATGTGCCCGACGTCCATTGAAATGACGTCACACCATATATGATCCTTATACTCGAGATACTGGAGCTCCTTGACAGCTATGGAGGAGGCATCAACCCAAGAGACACTATATGGCTCAGGGTGAGGAACAGACTTCAACCCTAGATGGGATACAGTAGCCATCGAAACCGCATTAATGCAGCTGCCACTATCCACGATAACTTTACAGCCCTTATTATTAATCTTGATGTCAGTGTGGAAGATGGTATGACAGCGCCAATCATCGGCATCCCTAGGATGGGTAAGAGTACAACGGACGATACCGACTCTAGGCGTATGTGGGATAAGGGGACTAGCCTGAATACAACCCAAGAAGGTATCTTCACTATCCTCCAAGTCATCAAACTCTTCTAACGTAGACTCATAAATCTGAACCTCTAGTGGCTCGTCAACTATACC